GCCCCTCGGACAGGTGCGTCCTTGGAGCTCTGGGTGCTGCATCACCCAGCGAGTCCTGGATGGGAGTCCCCAAAGTCACAGGGCTGCTGTAGCTCTGGCTTGGTGCCGTGGATGTGAAGGTAGCTCTGTTCCCCACCGCTCGTGTCTGTGTAGCGGGTGAGGTCGTGCCGTGCGGGGGTGCCGAGGTTCGGATCCTGCGCTGCTCCTGCCAGTGCCGGGCAGGAACCCCTGGGGATGGGGGACAGGAGCGCTCGCTGCGCTCCCCTTGCCGTCCCCAGGCACCTCAGCAGGGCTGGCATTTCCCCATCCTGGGAGGGAGCTGAGCAGACAGTCAGGCCCACTCTGGGCCAAGGTGAGAGGTGTTTGGAGCAGAGAACACAGCCATTTGCCGTAAGGAGCCCCAGGGAGAGCGGGGGGTTTGTCTCTGCCAGGAGCAGGGAAAAAGAGCCCAGGTCAGGCTCGGGCTCAGCCGTGCTGCTGGGGTAGGCCGACACTAGAGCTCAGTGCTGCTACCCCGCAGGCTACCCCATCCCCTCGGCCAGGCACTGGGGTCTTTGCCCCTGGTTTCTCTTCCTGGACTGGTGCCAATGAGCCCCTTTTCCCCCTTGGGCTGGGGCAACAGTGCCACCATAGCAGAGGTCCCTGGCAGGGGAGGACCGAGGCACCCAGGTGCCACTGTCACTGACAGCGCTGGCCCCTCTGTCTCCACAGGAGATCATCGATCTGACCTGCGAGGACACGAGCACAGACCCAGCGCCGTGGAGCAGCCTCACCATTATCGACCTGACAGAGGACACATGCAGCCCGTCCCGAAGCCCTCCCCACGCTGCTGGCTGGGCTGATCAGGACCCCAGGCAGGTGCCTGCTACCCCAGCAGCACACATGTCCCATCCCCGGCTCTGCTCCACCACAACACAAGAAACGGAGGCGGTGGCGGGGCCAAGCCCTGCAGCACCCTGGCACAGCACTCCCTCGGAGCCCGATGCCACCACAGACACAGCAGAAAGTGCGGAAAACTGGAGCCGCCTCTCTCCCACCTCCAGCCGCCACAGCTCCTCCTGCAGCCCAGAGCAGAACTGCAGCACCACCACTTTTAACAGTGACTTGGGCTCGCTGGCCAGCATGCAGCTGGACTCGGACCTGCTGTCCCTGTCCCCCTCCAGCCTGGACAGCAGCAGCAGCTGGAGAGCCGGTGGCCCAGAGGAAGAGACTCCCCACCTCTGCCAGAAAAGGGAGCTGCCCCCGAGGCTGAGCCCTGTCCCAGCCATCCCCACAACCCCAGGGAAGGCCCAAGGGCCTTTGCTGAAAGCGAGTGACTTACCGCCACACAAAGCAATCCAGCAAGTGACCTCAGCCAGGACCAAGGCTGACAGCAAGGCCTGGCTGAACAAACTGCACTATTTCAGGAGGAGTGGAGTCCAGCACCTCTTCCTCCAAGGCGTAGCACCCAACAGGGAAACACAGCAGGTAAATGGGGTTCAGAGCAGCCACTGCCAAGTCCAGACGGAGCCTGCTCAGAGCAGCCCCTGCGGTAGAGGATGGAGCGGGGGCAGCCCCTGCTCCGCTTCCCCTTTTGGGGGAAGCTTTGCCCGGCAGTTGGGATCTCTGGTTATTGTAGTTCCCTTCACGGTGGGCCCCACATCACAGCTGGGTTCCTCTGTGTTGGGGGGATCCAGCTTTCACCTATTGCCTTGCCTTGCACGCAGCGGAAACCTGAGCTCATCCCCAGCGGGAAGCTGAGCATGGTGCACACCACCATGGAGGAGAACTTCCTGGAGGGCACCTTGCATTTCCTGAGCGAGTTCGTCTCCCGCCAGCACTGTCCCCCCAAAGAAATCATCTCCCACCTGATCAGACAGATCCTGTTGAACCCCCACCAAGGGGAGATCCTGAAGGACACCTACATGCTGCTGATGAAGATCCAAATGTACGTGTTCCCTTTGCCACGGTGCCCTGGGGCTGGCTAGGTGTTCCCAGGGGCCTGGCCAGCATAAAGGTTATTCTCCATGGTCCTCACCCACAGAACAGGGAGCAAGCATCCCCCAGGATGATCCTCCTGCCCCTGCCCCCTGTTATCAGCCCAGGCACACCCTGGGCTGTCTGAGGGTGGGTCAGGACCATTGCTGGCCCAGACAGCAACCACTAAACCCCAAGTGGATGGAGGATGGCGGGGGCAAGAGAGGCAGGGGATGCTGGAACAAGAGGGAAAGCAGCTCCAACTATATCATGAGCGTGCTTTAATCATTTAGTAGCGAGCCCACACAGTGCAGGGACAGCCTGTGACACCAGGGAGCCCTCTAGGACAGAGGAGTGTGTTTGCCGTGCTCCTGAAGAGCAGATTTCATTCTTCACTGCTGTGACATGGCAGAAACACCTTCCCTGGGCTGCAGGAGGGATCATGGGCTTGAGGTGTTTGGAGCGGTTCCCCTACTGCCTTCAGGATTCCCACAGAAAGTCACAATGTTTTGTGAGGCCACGGGCCCAGGAGTGCCAATGCTCTCCATGGAGTACAGCCCCAGTCAGGTGCTTCCAAAAAATTAATGTGGTCAGGGGAGGAGAAAGGGAGAGGGCAAAGCTGAAGAGGAGAAGGCAGGGCAGGCCCCTGAGCAAGTGGGGCTGGGGGAGGGCCAGGGGCTGCCGTGCCTCCAGGCGTATGGTTGGGCAGTTCAGCACAAATGGACAGTGCTGTCCTTGCAGGCTCCATCCAGCCAACGCCGCCACGGTGGGATGGGACTGGACACTGCTGAAATACATCATGGAGGACCAGGTACTTGGCACCTCATGTGTCACATCAGGCAGGGATCATCCAGTACACGGTGCCTGAGGGTAAGCATTGCCCCAGGGCCTCATGGCCGTACTCTGCTGCAGAACGGGCCAGTCCAACATGCAGTTTTATTGCAGCTGCTGAGGGCAGCAAATGCAGTTGGGTCTCCCACTTTTAACCGCGGTGCTCCCTAAGCTGCTGCACAGCTGTAGGCAGGTTGTCTCATCTGAGGAAGACACAGCAACAGACAAAGCCTCTGTGAGCCACAGCCCTAGTGCAATGGTAGAGCAGGCCCAGCCAAGCCCCTGGGGCATTGCCTGAGCCAGGCAGCCCCTCCTGGAGCTACTCCTCAGTCATGTACGTCAGCCCATTCCCGAGACAGCCAAATTCCCTGGTGCTCCTCACCCTGCAGCTCCACCAGACTCATACCGTCTCCATCTGCCCTCAGGAGAAGCCCCCCGGCCGGCTCCTCTTCCTGCAGTATGTGGTGCAGACCCTGGAGGACGACTTCCAGCAGAACCTGAGGTTGCGCCTGCTGCAGAAGTCAATTGCCAAGAAAGTGCTTTCATGTGACACGTGCTTCAACAATGTCAAGTAAGGGACCCCTCCTCCTCCCCTATTCTCTAACCAGACGCTGAGAGGCAGGGGCTCAGGGAACAGAGACTCTAGGTCAAACTTTCAGACTTTCCGGGAAACAAGCCTGGGAGACAGAGGAAAGTGTAGGGCCCAAGTATAAAGAACAGGAGCAGGTTTACAAAAGCAAACCACCAGAGATGATGCAAGGCATTTCCAGCCGCAAGCTAGCGGGCTTTTCCCAGGAACGAGGTCAGATTTGCATTGCTTAGGACGGGACTGAGAAGGAGGCAGTGCTATTGACAAGCATATAAATCTGCTGCTCAACAGAGCTACTCCCTAGCCTGTCCAAGCGGGTGGGACATATTCTTCATTCTTGGGGCCTTTCCTTGAGCTCCAAGTGGATATAGAGGTCAGAATGCAGCAAAACGAGGCCTGTCCCCACTAACGTTCCTGTTTCTGTCCCAGGGAGGTGGTCGAATGGTTGGTTGCAGCAGTTACAGGAGTCAGGTTCTCCCAGCCCCAGGAGCAGCCGCAAGAGATTACATCCTCTTCAGCAGAAGCAAGGGCTGAACGCAGCTCATCTGCACCATGGGTGGCCAGCACTGACCAGGCAGAGGTGGCTCCACCAGCTTTCTTTGCCCAAAAGTAAGCCCCAGAAGTCCTGACTCCCTGCCGGCAGTATCATGGGGCCCAAATCAGGGAGAAGCCAGAGTCTCTCCCTATCAGGTCAGGGAAGCCAGACTGTACCTGAAGTTCTCCTTTGGGGTAGACGTACACTTGGTGAGCAAGAGGTTTCCTCACCTGGTAGGAAACTGGCTCAGTGAGCGTCTTCCTCTCACGTGTAGTATAAGGCTGGAGCTCTTGGCCCACAGCCCAGGCTGTCCCATCCTGCTCCACCAACGCTCACTACAGCCACTGAGACCTCCCGAGGACCCATCTGGGATTAGCTCTGCTTCCAAGAGCATCAGATTCAAAAGCCACCAAGAGACACCAAATCTAGTCTGCTACATTCCCCTGCGTCCCTCACCGCAAGGCATGAGGCCGAACTAAGTGCTATCCCCACTGCTTTACTTGGCAAGGCGAGGGGTAGTGTCTCCTAGTGTTGACTGTCTCTCTACCCTAGGGTGATTCTCCTGCTCCAGCGGATGTTGTCCATCGCGGTGGAAGTGGACAAATCTCCCAACTGCAGCTCCTGTAAGATCGCAGATGTGATATTCCCATTTATACTGAATATTCCCCTGAGGAGCCAAAGGTGAGACAAACATGTGCAAGGCAGCATCTGCCTGTGTGAGCAATAGTCTTATTCCCGATTTACATCCAAGTCTGGATGCATAAAGTACCACAGGGTATAGAAAGACAGGCTCATCTATGACCCAGCCAGCAAACACGTGGCTGTTGGACTGACAGATCCTGTGGAGGTAGAACATCACCAGCTGAACGCATGTCCCCAGCTCGTGTGTTGCTGAGAAAAATTCATTCTTCCACTTGTTAAAGTTGCAGGACCTTAAAACTGTAAAGAGGGTCTCAAAAACAGCACTCTACATCAGCATGGTCAAGTACTGGCAAACACATCACTGATTCCCAGGGACAACTGAGAAGCTCATCAGAAATGAGATACAGTTCTTAGAGTTTTGCCTTGACATGCTTTTGTTTGCTTCTCTAAGAAATGCAGTATCTGAAGCCAAAGCGCAAGGGCCTGACTGGCTGTAGTGTAGACCCGAGACCACTAGACCCACAAACATTTCAAACCCACATTTGCCAGCTCCAGCAGGCAGCCCTTTCGATCCCTTTTAGCAGAACTCTCTCTGAGCACACACTGGGTCTAATCAAGCCAAACTGACTCTAACAAAGCTATCGCTCCTCCCAGGAGAGATCTCCTAGATCCAGTTGACCACTGACCCCACTTTACACTTGCTTGGCTGTGCTCCCTGCAAGTCAGCAAGAATGGGTAACTTCCACACAGGCTGCTGGGCAGGGTGAAGTGAAGCGGCTAAGCTTGCTTCACAGACTGTACAGACCTCAAGTTGCCACAGGTCAGACCTAAGGACGTAAACATGTCCATGGCCAAGCTGCATAACGAAGGTCTCTGTGTCACATCTGGTAGTTTTCCTTCCACTGCACTGCTGGATAGCCCCTGCAGTCAGTCACATCTGCACAGATCAGCACCAGCAGGACACCAGGAACATGCTAGAGCAGCTGTCCCTAGTCAGGCTGTGACTGACTCCCAAAGTAAATCCCTTTTGTCTTCCAGGGAAGCTTTCTTAAACACCATGGAGAGCCAGCTCCTGCGCTGCAAACTGCTAGAGCTGTTGTTCCAGCATAGTTGTGATGTGCCCACGACCTTGCCCTTGTCTCTGGCCAAGATCCTGTACTTCCTGAGCCACTCCTCTGTGCTGCTGCAATACCAGGTATCCAGTCCAACCTCTCCTTTGCCTTGCTTTCTCCTGAGAAAACCTCTTCTAATAACCAAATATTGTCTCTTGTCATAGGATGAAACAGCAACATGGCAAAGATGGGATGAGATGGTTCAGTACTTGAGTTTGCTGCTGATGAGTTACCAAAATGTAATACTGGGTAAGCAGCCTGTTCTGGCCTTTATAAACACAATCTCTTCAAGAGGCTGCAGTAGAACAGCCAAAGTACCCTTTCTCCTCTCCTCTCATCACTCTTGAACTCACGGCCACTGAGTCTTAGAAGGATAATGTGCCTCTGTCCATGCTAGTAACTATTCCCAACAGTCGGAGCAAAGAAGTGATGTTGCATCAAGCAGAGCACCCAACCTGCTTTGCCAAGTTTAGCCCCTAAGAAATAGCCTACTTTCTAAAGGATCAATCCCAGCACTGGGAAGTACACAAGGGGGTGCTTTGTACCCACTATTGTCTAAGTTGCACACACAGTAGGTGGAAGAATAGGGTGGTTTAGGAGGAAAAGCAGAAGTCAAACGGATGGTAAAGCCAGGACACACTCAGCACTTAGACTGGGCAGGGAGCACCACCCACAGTAGCCATGGAAGGAGCAGTATTTCTGACCCCAGGAGAGTGGCACAGTCACAAAACACTCCCTAAAACTCCCTAAAGTCCCTAAAGAAAATTCCTAAAGTCTCTTCCCAACTTCAGCTGCTTTAGCCCAGGGTTAAGGCTCTCATGGAGGAATGCAAAGGAACCCACTATCCCATGCGCATAGAGTCTTATTCTCCCTGAAGCCCTAGACGATCACTGTCATTAAGCTCTTTGAAGATTCTCCTTTGCAGCTGGACAGCTGTCCAGTCTGCCACTAGCACAGGAGAAAAGGATGCTGCAAGCCCTGCCCCCTCCCCATTTCTTGGGCTCTCTCCACGTGCAGACTGAGCTCCAGGAGGAGACAGTACCTTCTTCCACCAGGCTAGTCTTGTGCAGAAACATCAAGGATAACCATGAGAAGATCAGCACAGTTCCCAACCGCTCCTCACCACAGCACAGTGCTGCTTGCGGCACGCTGTGATCTGTCCCTGAACAGGTCAGGCAGCCAGTCTGTTGCCTCTCTCCACCAGCATTTCCTCTTGCAGAGCACTTGCGGAGCTCACTCAATGACCGTATGGACTTGATCATTCAGAAAGCCAAGCCCAAGCTCCAGGATGGAGATGACATCAGCCATCTGGACATTCAGCTGAAGATAGAGGACTTCATCAGCCGAATGCAGCAGGTCCTGGGGCAGCCTTTTCCCCTGCAGATCATGAAGAAATTGTGCATGCTTCGGGAGTTGTTCCTCATTGTCACTGCTACCTGATGGAGACAACCACTGCCGCAGGGGGCACAGAGAGCTCTCACTGCTACCTGATGGAGACAACCACTGCGGCAGGAGGCACAGAGAGCTTCATGTTTCCTCTGTAAAACCCCATCAAAACCCCCATCTCATGCTGCAGTCTCAAGTGTGATACGTCATGTGGGTTTGTTTATACATTTCTTTGGAAAAATATCTGGTTTACATGGTCTCTTTCAAACATGTCTCATCCTACAGTTTTACAAGGCACTTTGTACACTTTTAAAAAATAAATTATTTTCGTATTTGCTGAGACTCTTCCATCTTGATGCCACTCCTGCCCAAAGGAAGTGCAGAGCTCTGTCAGGGAAAGCATTAGACTAACGTGGCCATAAACTTTGACAATAGTTTGCACAGCAAGCAAAATGCCAAAATACCTGTTCAATATTTAGGAAAAGGTGATAATTTTTAAGAAAAAAAGCAGCACTGTGGGCTGCAGTGAGGGCATTCACAGTGCAGAGATTCCTAAGCCATGCTGGTCAGTCCTCAGGAGAGGAACATTTCTGTTCCAAATCAAATACATCTACATGACTTTGCCCAAGGTGATTAGCATGTCAAGAGAGAAGACTGGATAGCAGCATCAACTGAAAAAGCTGGGCCTCTTCCAGAATGCAACAAAGTGTCTGCAGTGCAGGCAAGCATGTGTGTTATGATGAATACTCAGTTCAAATACACTGCCATCAACTCAAACCACAGCTGAGGTCAGACAGCAATTAGGCATTTCTGTAGGTCTCCTCAGACAGTTCAGAAGCAACAGAGATTGGGAGTGGGAGAAAGACTCCTGTTGCTGCCCACCACCCCTTTATCTGTCCCTGAGGAGACCAGAGCCTAGGAGCATCAAGCAGCACAGTCATGACCAGGAATGGAGTAGTCCTGATGTCAGTGCCGCACATACTGAAGACCTGGAGCTTGCTGCACAGGCCTCATCCAGAAGCCTGGCTTCATTTAGCCCAGAACTGTTTGGAAGGGTCTGACCTGGGGCTCACAGGTTTGCTCCTTGTTCTTTAGGAGGCCTCTTCCCAACTGCCAGATGTAGAACAAACCACTCATCTGCATGATGTTGCCCCTCTAATCCAGGGATAAGCCATCCAGGGAAAAGTGAAGAAGTCTCTTTTCAAAGTAGTAGCCAGAAGCATTCCCAACAGCACACACTCCAAGTGCTCCCTGCTCTAGAAAGCTGCTCTTCCTGCATTGTATGCTCATTCAGGTATATTTTCCAGTTAGGTCCTTTTAACTGGATTAGACTTCTATCATTAGACTAGAAAAGAAGCCACATTCCTGCAAGAGGTCCATACTTATGGATGTTACTTTCTGATATGTTGGTCATATCCCCAAGAATGATGTTGGAATAAAATACAGAAAGTAGAATATCACATCAAGAGGCCACACTTAAACCCCAGCCTTTCCAAACTGAACTATGAGATTAGCCTGTGTAACCAAGACCTGCAGCAGCAGCCTGTACCAGAGTACCTGGGTGCTTCAGCATCTGCTTCATCACTTTGAGTTCTGCTAACACTCTAGGAGCACAGGAAACACCAGTGTTCAGCTCAGACTTCCCTAGAACAGGAGAACCATGTGCTCTATCAGCAATACTTTGGCAGCTACAAATGCTACAACAGCACTCAAACCAGAACTTTTCAGAGGAAGGCAAAGCAGAGGTGGCCAGATCACTGGGAGCTTGGCACCTCTACGCAAATACCAGCCTGACTCCCACAGCTGTGTCCACCTCCACAGTACAGGTGCAAACACAGCACACAAGCTGCAAGCAAAGCAATCTCAAGCTATTTGAATAGCTCAAGAAAACACAAAGATTTCATGTCTAGTTTCATCTGCACAAGCCCTAAGACAGGACTGAGCTGGCTTTAAACCTACTCTCCCTGTCAAAAGAGTTTTACAGAGCAAACATTTCACCCTAGTGCAAGTGCTGCGAGAGCCTTATTAGGCAGAACCTTCACCCCACACTCACTGGACAGCCCCACATTTCTTCCACAGATGCTTTGCCAGCACTAACATACACCAAGGACCTCCATTCACAAGGATTTTATTTTCTTTTAACAAACAAAAAAAATCATACACATTAGAGACATGAATACAGACAACAAATAAATTAATGTCAAATGAGAGAGTGATTGCCAAGGTGCAAATGAGTGGCGACAGTGAAAACTGCTAGATTGGGTGGGAGACTTTCAACACAACACATCACTGGCAGTGCTGTTGAAGCTTGAAAGGAAGCAGAGACACAAAACGTGCTTCTTCAGAGGGGAGAGCAGCTAGCCAAGTGAGCCAACTCTGCCTCAGCCTCTGAGAGGAATGTTTGGTTTAAAAAGGCAGAAACCCCAGAGCTCAACAGTTACCAGCTGTTAAGTAACCTCTGTATAATGAACTGGCAACAGAGAAGCTTCCAATACCATATGCAAGGCTGCTGAGGCCACCTTGCCACTACAGAAAGCCTGCTGCTGGCTGAGGGAGCTCTGCAACACAATCGTGAGATCCAGAGAGAGACCTGTTTGCCACAGGATAGGTGAAGATTACAGAGCAACTCTGCCTATAACGTTTAAGGGATTAGATGGTAGTCAGGAGTTCCTTCCACTTTTCATGAAACCGAGTGTTAGCTGTTCCCAGTAACTGGTTCTGACTAGGTCAAAAATTACATATAGCTGTATCAGAGCAGGGAGGAATGTTGAGCCTTGATCTGCCCTCAGCCCTCCCCCAGCCCTGCAAAATGCATTTAATGCTGATGAAACAAAACCCTATTTGAGAAGTGCTCCTGGTGTCTAACACACTTCTACACAATTCATTCAAGATGCTGGGGGGGGTGGGGAACCAACACCAAATCAAGCAGCACCCAGAGTGCCAAAACATCTGTAAGTCTGTTGTCTAGGAGAAGGCAGGACAGTGTTGTTTTGCAGAGAGAAGAGAGGGGGATTACTTGGTTCAAGCCACACAAGCTCTGGTCACTTCCACCTTTTTGGAGGAACGTGAAGAGTTAGAAGAGAAGCAATTCTTCCTCATACTGCCAACCCCCATTAGATTCTGCTCCTTGCCTTTCTAATAAGAGCATCTTAGAATGGCCACTGCTCCACTTTTCCTTACTGACCCACCACATTCCCAGAGCAACTTCCTTCTGGCAGTTAACAGTCCAGTTTTTAGTCCTTGCTTGTTTTCATCATTTTCTGCTGGTGTTCTATATTTGCCAGACAGAACCACAGTCCTCCTGAGGGTACTTCAGCACTGAGCAGGACAAGACAATCAGACTACAGGTAGGCAAGCCAGCCTGCTTGCACACCACATGCAGTCCTGTCCCACAAAACATGATTCAAGGTTTTACTGTGGTGCAGTGTACTGGGAAGCACATCTAGTGCAGCCTAGCAGACTGAACTGGTGCAATACAGCAGACAGGATGGTTTAGTGCTAGTGCAGGAGTTTTTCCAAGACTGGCTTTAGGAGACCAGTCAGAACTGTTTCCTTTTCTGAGATGAAGAGCTGGAAATGAAACTTTCCTATTTTACTGCAGCACAATGGGACAGGGAAGCAGAGCCTAAGACACCCTGTAGTCCGCTAAAGACACCTGAAGCATTCTTCCTAGAACCCAGTGGGAGTGAGCACATTCAGATCCCGAGGTTTGATATTATGGGAACGTGGAGATTGTTTCCTCCCTTCTGTGACTGGAATGTCCATTCTGGGTGGTTTGAAGGTGACTGGATCCTCTGGCATCCTAGTAGCCTGAGCACGCATCAGCTCCATTGGGGACGGCTTCTGGGCACCCTTATAGGATTGGATGGTAAATCCTCCTGATGAAAAAAAATCACAGCAAGTAAGAGCTAGGAAAACTAGCCAAGTCCTTTTTCCACTGTTGCCAGGAGTGAGCAGTGTCACTGATGCCCAACACTGCAGAAAGCCTATGCAAGACCCAGCAGCTTCATGTCATCTAAAGCCTATTCCACATCACTGGCACTTCCAGTTCTGGTTCCACCAGACAGCAGAGGAAGCAGAGTAAAAAGCTGTCACCTTCACACCCTGCCCTTCCACTGCAGCTCAATGCAAGTTATTTCTACTTTCAGACCCTTGGCATAGGTTTTACCTAACTGCTTTATATTTAGGCACAGAAATTATATGAATAGCACACATTCATTAGGTGGTCCTAGAAAGTAACAAGGCGAGCAGGATAAGGCTCCAGAAATAGCTAGGAAGTTTGTGTGACAGTTCTCCCCTAGCTCTTGCAGGGCAGGAGATTTTAGAGGACATACCTGGATCATTGGTGGATTTCTGGATGGCTTTGGGTCCAAAAAAGCTCCATCTTTCAGATGGCAATTTGTCCCCACCAGCTTCCATGGCAACGTCTGGGCCAGTGATAGAAGTAGAGGATCCCTGACTAAACCAACCCCTAGGGAAAAATCATTGAGATGTACAAAACATGAGAATAAATACTTCAAGTGGCCGCACTGTGCCAGAAACTTCGCATGTAGTTATCAGGGGCAATTTAAACGAACTTAATAGGTTTGTTACCACCCAGGATGAAGATATGTATGCTCAAGTTCCACAAGCTTTCAACATTTGGATCTATCCAACACAAAACCAAGCAGGCTCTGAATTTCACCCCTTAGACAGTCCCTCACTGGGTACGAAGGTTATTTGTAGCAGCTCCCACCTCAGCAGCCTGTAGGAAACCAAAGGAGGCAGTGGTCTGCCAGGAACAGAGTACCTGTTTTTATGCTTGGGAGAGGAGTGGGGAGTGCTGCTTGGAGTGGACTGAGCAGAAGAAGTCTGTTTGTCATCTTTTGTCATCTCTCCACTCTGCATTTTTAGCTTCTGTTAGGAGAGGCAAGAGAAACACAGAAGCAACAGAGCTTAAATGCAAGACATAAGGAACAGCCAGTTTTATTGTCAAAACTGGACAATTGTTTATATGACAGGTGATAAAGGATTTAAATGTCACTTCATCTAAAGCTAAACCCAGTATTACAATACTTGCATACACCCCTTAAGCTTCTTTCCACATCAGATATAAGCATTTTGGTAGTCCACTATGCTCAAGACACATCCTCCAGGGTAGAGGAAGTAAAATTAACACCTACAGCTCACTCTGCAATTCAGAGTCACTAACCAGCAGTAATGCACTGCTTCAATACCAGCATTCATAGGAAGGTTGCAGATATAGCAGAGCTAGCTTACGCATCAGTTCAGCTATCTGGTAACAAGTCTAAATGTCACAGCAACCATTTGTCTGCAGCACTTCTCAGAGCAAAGCTTTCAGTCCCACAAGTTCTCTAATGAAGGCGAGACCAGACCTCGTACAGAAGGTACTAGGTCTAGGAGTACTAGACCCTGAGAAGTAATCCACATACAACAGGATGGGAACACTGCTCTAAAACACTGAGGTGAACTGCATTTGAAGAGTACGCCTGGTCATAAAATCAACAGGAACTGGGTGTATGTGAACCAGGCTATTATAAGTCAGACAGTACAAACTGAACTTTGAAGAAGTCACTTGAAGGGCAGTTATAGTTCAAACACCAACTACACAGGCACCTTCTCAGAATGTTTCCTGTGGCTATCCAAGCCACACTAATGCAATTCACCAACACTGTTATTGAAACTTTGACCTTGTGGGAGTACACTTGGGGAGTTCATTATTAAACTCCAGCTGCAAGATTACTGTGGGCAACTGAGCTCATCAGAAACATGTTGATTCAAGACCTTTGTCTTTATTTCCACTAAGAGGCAAGCCCAATTTCATCTGCTATCTTCCACATCAGAAGTGCATGGTTTACAAGTTCTCTTGGGACAAGCAGTTACAACAGCCAACTGCAGGGCACCATTCAAATGAACAGAAAGAAACTAGATTCTGTCTAGGGATGTCCCCGCTTGGAAAGACAACTGTGATAGTCTGACATACTGTGGAATATGACATATTTCAGAAAAAAGTTTGTTTCAAATGTATAAAGGCTAACGATAACTTTAAAATATAAGTGGGTAACCTTTTTTACACAATGAGCTAAAAGCCTTCAGAGGAAGCAGTTTAAGGAGAGTCCTAGCAACATGCTCCAAAAGTTATGTTACCAGATAGGTGTTAAGCTAGTACGCAACCTTCACGGAGAAAGCCAATGCAAAACAAGCCTTACATGGACTGCCTCAGCCACTCGGTGATACTTTGTCTCCTCAGTAGTGAGGCCTTTGTGGGGAGTGTAGCCAGCATCTCTCAGCCCTGCCTGCTGCTCAAAGCGCTGAATGCTCTCCTGAGTCTGCTCTGGAACGGACAAGAGCACATATTCACACAGAAATGCCACCACAAGCAGTTCTAGCAAACAAAGGCAACTCAAGCAACTGAACGCAAGACCCTTGTTTCATCATTCATACCTCCATGTTGTGATGAGTTGACAGAGGCAGCAGGATGAAGCTAATGAGATATTCTGACTTGAAAACTATCCGGAGTCATAGGGCTAAGTCAGATGAGCAGTGATTTGTCCCAGATCACCAGATGTACTACAAATCCAACACCTGTCATTAAACCCATCTCACCCAAGAAGCTGCATCACTCCTAATTACAACTTCCTAAATCTAGGAGACCCTAGATTCAGGGGTTAAAGGATTTTTTTTGGCCAACAAAAAAATGAAGTCTTCTGAAAGACTGCCCACACCAGCTAATCTGACAATCACAGCCTTGCAGAACAGGTGGTAAAGACTCCCAGTGATTCTAGATTAGGTAAAATAAGCCACTTCAGCCAAATACAGAGCCAGCATCTAATACACTGGTATCAACTTCAGTTCTGAAAAATATAAGCACTTTTGCCACCCCCCCAACTACCAGCATAAGATGTTCACTCCCTACTGGAACTAAGAAAAAAGTCAAAAGGAATCAGAGCACAGAAGGATTACTGGAAAAGCCCAATGTCTTCTTTAAAACAGATAACACTTCCCATGTTACTGTTGAAGTTATTTGCAGGGATATTGCACTGTATATATAAGAAGTCTAGAGGACCTTTGCCTGTTAATTTCCAACTTGTGAATGAATGTTCTTCCTGGGAGGTGTAGGTTGGGGCTCCTGACTTCTTACTGCACAAGAACATTTTTAGGCCATCATGGTTTTAAATAGATTAGCATTTTATCATTAGACTAGAACAGGAGCTGCTTTCCTGAAGAAAGTCCATATTCCTGGATGTTATTTTCTGATGTGTTGGTTATTTTCGAGCCAAGACTGAAATAAGTGCAAACGTATAGCTATTCCAAAATGCTGGTCTGAAAATCTCAAAGTCTTTGGAAGTACTACTTGGAGGAAAAGATGAAGCTCAGATCCCAGCTGCTAAAGGAAGAGGCAGCAGGGACAGGTTAACACATAATTCCTCGTCGCAAACGGGCATGTCTTCTTTGCAAGCATAACTGATCCAATCTGATTTTAAAGCATCATGATTTATGAGGTTTGTTTTTTTTAAAATAAGTGTTACTGTTGGCAAGGCAGCTGCAGCTACTAACTAACAAATACCAGCAAGTGCTCCGTTAGCACAGTATGTCAGCTCTCCACACCACTTCAGTTCATTTTAGAGCTTTACCGGTCATTCAGAAATAGCAAGTTAATAAGCAAACAGAGTAGCAGCAGCAGCCGCCCCTGCACTCCAGCAACAAGGTGGCGTGGACTGCAGTGTCCTATCAGCAGGCTGCACTCCTCCCTCATCACCCACCTCCAGCACCTGGAAACACAGAGGCACTAAGTGTGGCCTATTCCCCAGTTCCTTGCTTCCTTCTAGAAGCATCCTCCAAAAAAACTCATACAGCTCAAGAGCAGTTGGTCTGAAGCCACAAGCTGTCCAGGAACTCTGGTAGTTACCTTGAGGCATTACCAAGCCAGAACACGCTCGCGTGCCCACACCCCATTAGCCACCACATTAGAGGTGAGAATTCTTACTTGTAATGAGAGAGTTCATGATGATATGAGTGGCCTTGGCCTTCACCACAGGTACCTTGTTCACACTTTCGGTGGACGATGAAGGAGTTATGACTGGTGCATTCATGTTAGCATCCCCTTCCTCAATCTGTGGGGAAGAAGCAGGGTACACTTTAAGATGAGAAAGTATCTCAGCACCTTGCCAGGACACACCTCTAACAACTCAAAGGAGACACAAGGCCAAGCCGCTCTAGCAGGTAGCCTTCATCCCATGGAAGAAACCCATACGCTTTTCTCACTACAGCCCAGGAATCTTTAGAGCCTGAACCTTATAATTCTCAGCAATGAACAAGCAACTTGCATCCAAGATTTGAAATCCTACCAGGCTTAGAGCCAACAAGTTGTTAGTCTAAGTACAAAAAGGTCAACAAGAAAGAAACCAGAACATATCTACTTCCATTCTCATAACTGCAAATTGGACTTCAAGGTCAATTGGGCAAGAGCACCCTTCCACAGACAGCTCAGAAACACAAACTATTTACAGAATGGCAGTCACACAGATTAGAGGCTGGTGTTTAGAACTTGTTCTCCCCCTCATTCCTTATATCAGTTTCTTGCTCAGTGTATCTAGTGGTCATAGCTCTACCACTGATCATGAGACCCTAGCAACAAAGAACCAGACAACGAATGCTAGAAAACAAGAAATCTTATGAAACATAGGCTTCCTCCTCCTAACACAGGAGTTACTGTTCCCTGACTGGACAGTTTGCTTTTTGTGCCAAACCACAACTTTAGATTTTCTTCCATGAGAAAGATTTTAAAATAAAATGAGGTGAAAAGTGGAGGTTAAGCTGAAAGGGATGCAGAGTTATTTACTTCCATTCAACAACATTTAACTTCAAACTTAGAACTAACAGCCTCTAAATTTAGAAGAGCTGGTCCTGCACTCAAAGCGTCCCCTTAGTCATTTCATAGAACAGTTTGGGTTGGAAGGGACATTCAAAGATCATCTAGTCCAGCCCCCCTGCTGCAGGCAGGGACATTTTTCACTAGGTCAGGTTGCTCAAAGCCTCATGCCCCCTGACTTTGAACCCCTCCAGGGATGGGGCATCCACAGCTTCTCTGAGCAACCTGTTCCAGTGTCTCACCACCCTCATCGTAAAGAATTTACATCCAACATGAATCTACCCTTTTGCTCTGGTTTAATTGCACTTGGTCACATCTTGCAGCTTTTTTACCCATAAACACCTCCCATAAGCGAGGAGACTCCCAGAACACGCCTATCTCAACCATACTTCAGTGTTCCCACAACAGGGCCAGGCAGCAAAGCCGGTCTCTTGTCTCTGGGCTCCCGGGGCCCAGCGGGTCTCTGCTGCGGAGGGCAGGGGGCAGCTCGCCCGCTGCGGTGCCCCGGCCAGGCAGGAGGGCTGCCGGGGCC